GACCTTACTATGAGAGATTTCGAAAAGGGAACATTTCCTATTCTAACACCGTTCTAGGCTTCAGTTTTTCTTAAAAATGATTCTCTGTTTGAATAATACTATCACAAACAGTTAAAAGAATTGAGTATAATCTATTGTTTTTTCGCATACAAGTACAAAGTATGAATATGTTTTGAAAAGCGCTTTTGTGCAGAACTGTGAACGACAAAAATTAATTTTTCTGCTGTCTCTATCAAATAATAGAAATTCATTTCTAGAAAATGAGATTTCTGTAGTCCTATTAAGTTTGAAATAAAATGAGGCATTCGATGATGTAATAAAGTAGTGATACTAATTCATTTGTTTAAGCAACAGCGGTTGAAGTTTGTAGAAATGAAATTTTCTGTACTTGGTAGAAGTAGAATAGAAACAAGTTCTCTCTTGTGGTTGTTTCCTGAATTCTGGAATGAAAAATAAGTGATCATCATGATGATGGCATGTGGACTCTCAATAATTCAGTGATAAAGTAAATTTACTGACATTTTGCTTCTTGTTCTTCTAAGTAAATATGTCAATAGTCTGATAATAGGTTAACAATCTGTGATTCGATGTGGCAAGATCATTCGAATGATGCTGCCAAAGAACTGATGAACTAAAGTTGCAATCCGTAGCGGTGAGTGGTCGGTTTGGTCCGGTGAAGGATATCTTACCAGCTGGTATATCGGTCGGTAGACTCAACTTTTTTCTTTATGATTTTGCTTATGTCTTATCTAAAACATGCATATGAAAGATAAAGACAAATACACAACACATTCGAGTTCGCATCATTTTGAAGGACAACAAAGTCATGTTTCATACCATGTATTTATTTCTCTTGTTATCTATATTGCCAACTTTAATTGCATCATTACAATGTTACACATGCGAGACTCCATTTATATTGAATTACACTGTAACAAGTGATACAGTACCTTTATTTAACAATTGTCAGCTGATCAATGCTACACAATGTACAATTAGTGTACTTTGGATTCCAAATCTCACTCGATCTGTTATCACATTGGGCTATAGAACTATTCCATTGACTAATGATACTTTACATGATTACATCTTAGCCATGGCTCAAATGGAACTTGCTCTAGATAAAGAGACTCCATTAGTAGGACATGATCTTCAATTTGGATGTATTTCATGGAATAAATGCAATGATCAGATGATTTTGAAACGAATACTTCATTCACTAGTTATAGAAGACAAATTTGCTGAAGAATTGTCTTCCTTAATTAAAGTTGTTCAGCCATTCAACAATGACTCGGCTGCTGCACGCTATGCATATTCTAATACTACTGATGACTGTTCTCCGACAAGTCTTAACACGTGTCAACGATGTCAAATTTTTGTCGATCAGTGGTCTTCATCTAGTAAAGAAATCTGTGCAACATGTCCTACTGATTTCATAGGTATGAATTGGGTAGTACGTGAATCTGTATTTGTACTAAATAATCGAACACAACTTATCGATCGTGTTCAACTCAACTGTCAACTTAAAGGTTGTAATTCAATCTATAATGCCAGTAGAATTCAACAAGCAAGCACGATTACATTCGATTTCAGCCAGTTTTTCAAAACTCGTCAGACAACATTGTCTAGCTTTTGATTTCAGCTATATCTTTGGCAACTATCATAATTGATTTTAACTTTTAATGACAGTTGTAAAATACTTCTTTTTCTATTAATATACTTATCAATAAAAGATAAGTACACTTTTAATTCCAAATATCACTTATTGGAGTTAACATTTTGTGTCAACATCTGTTCTTCTAAATACGGAAAGCTAACTCTTCGAATACATATAGTATATGTTCTTCTCATATTTGCAAAAAGATAGTTTTAAACTCGTGTAAATTGTATAAAAAAAAGACCAACGCATTCATCCACATCCAATTACAAAAGTGTATTACCTTGTGCAATAACACAACATAAATGACACGTGCAGGTAGTAGTATGAAGAAAAATATTAACAGTATTTGTCTGCCTCTTTTTTTTCTCTTATTCTTTCTGTCAAATAGAAGGTAACTGCATTAGTCATCAAGAATAAACTACCTCTACTAATACACGATTACAGTGAAAAAAAGGTTGTAGCAAGCAGTTTTATTTTTATTTTCTACTGAAAATAAGAACAACAAACAAAATGACTTTATTCATATATTGATTTAGAAATTATGAATTATTTTCAGATGAAAAAATCTACTACATCTACTTCATTCTTGTCACCATTTAATGGTAAAACAATTGTATTAGAACTTGGTCGTGAAATAGGCTTCAAAGCTAAACAAGAACTGGTCAAATATTTACGAGAACAACAAGCACATATTTCATATATTCTTACAGCCAGTGTATAGAATGTTTTTTCTGTTCTACAAATACGCTGTTGAAATTGACTTTACTTTTAGACTGACTACATTTTGGTTACGAATAATGTAGATAGCTATAAAATTCGTCGTGCTAAACAGCTCGGTTTGCCACTGATCAATATTGAATATGTGTACGAATATCAGCGTTTGCAACCTGGTCAAACACCGATCGATATTAGCAAATTTATCATTAAATCAATTGAAGATCAAGAAAATTTCTCAAAAACTGGTACTATTCCCGTTACAGGTAGTGGAAGTTTCTTTCTTAAAATTATTTCGAACATACAGATTCATTAGGATCTCGAGCAAATGCGATTAAAATCAATAAATTTGATATGAATAAAATCAAATTATGGAATTCGGACGATGCTAATTTACCTCGTTTCGATGAATTAACACATTGTGAAATCGGCAAATGGGCTATTTTCGAAGTAATAGTCTATTCATTGCTTACCATTGTTTTTTTAATATTTGTACTGTTTGTAACAGGAAACCAACGATAATTCAGATGTATTTTTTGTTCTTGAACTTCAAGTTATTCCCGAACAATATTACGATCGAACAACTAGCGAATATCGATTACGATTTCGATACGAAAAACAGATTATTGTTGCCGAAGAACAAAAGCAAAATAAAAAAATATTGATACAATATGCATTTTGTGATGATCCAAATGAACAACAACAATTATTTGCATCGTACTTTTATCGAATAGCTACAATGCCACGTATAACACGAATTCGTGAAATGTTACCTGATAAATTAGGATCGAAATTATTATTACGCGTAAGTAAATGATACAAAATAAAACAAAAATTATTTTGTAGTCTTTATTTACTCATCGTATCGATACACAAATACTCGATGATAATGTATGTCAATCGATCGAATCAATTTGGTTAGAATCTATTGGTGATCTAAATAAAATTTTGAGTGTATTACCTGAATCGATCACTCTCAAAACGGTATGTATACTTACGTTTTCTACATTGAAATGATCTTTTATTCGAAACATTTAAATAGATTATCGAAGCCGAGGCTGCATTGCTTGAAGTCAAATTGACCAATGATCCTACTGCTGTACTTCGTTTCTATTCACTGATTCCTCATCGACCACAGTATAATGTTGATCTTATAAAGAATCGTCGAGCATTGATCGAAAAACTTGATTTATGTCAGGTATATTTATTTCTGTTATTTGTTTCATTTAATTTTTTTTTCTCATTTCAGATGCTACGAGATATGCTTACAGTCAATGAACTAACTAATTGGAATGTTAAAGCACCAATCGAAGCAAAATATCGAGCGTTGAATTGTCACATTGAAACAGTGGATAGTTCAACACTTGAATTTAAGAATGTTACTGAACTCATTCAATCATCGACAGCTAAGTGAGACAAATTGAAGTTTGATTTTATAATGATAAGTTTGCTTTTTTTTTGTTTTCATTAGTGATGAACAAATTGTTATTCATCATGTATTTAGTGTGGTTAAACAGACAGATACACTCAATTTTTGTACATCATTATCCAATCAACGACAACTGTTGCATGGATCGAAATATGCTAACTTTCTAGGAATTCTTTCACGGTAACAAATTCATTTCATTCTGTAGACAATATTTATACTACGAATGTATATATTCAGTGGTTTGGCAATGCCAAAAATGGTAGTTGAAGAGTTAGGTGTTGTACGCACTGATATTGGTTGTCTCGGCTATGGAATTTACTTTTCTGATTCTGCTTCTACATCTCTAAAATATACGACAGCAAGTACAACACGACCAAGTCGACGATTACTGTGCATTTGCCAAGTAGCTCTAGGAGAATCAGCTAACTATTATACGTTTTCACCAACTCTCACCAAACCTCCCGACGGTTTTCATAGTACACATGGAATCAAAAAAACGGAAGAAAATAATTCAATGTTTATCGTAAGTGGATTTTGTACATATTTAAAAGTAATTTTACGAAGGTCAGAATTTCAACCCTATTTTCCCTTGTATTTGAGAATAATGGTAACTTGAAAATATGAAATATATATTTTCTGAACATGTCAGTCTGGGCATAACTGACAATACAAACATCTTCATAATTAGTCTAAAAATTGTTTTGTCGAGATTGTAACACTTGTTTTGCTACTGTACTTGAAAGGCCTTTTATAAAAGTGTACATAAAATTATTTTAGGCAGAATATTATACAGAAGTTTATTGTCATTCATCCAACGATAAAAAACAAGGCATATCTCACGACGAATACTATTGCAATGAGGAATGCATTCGGCTCTATTTCATAACAATATCACTCGCGAGAAAAACTAAAAAAAAAGATTTATCTTTGAGACTAATATCCATTTCAAATGAAAAGAAGGATAAATATTTTTCGAATAATTTTTCATAGGAAATATATAGAGATCTACGATTTTCACCGTTTAAAAGAGAAAATGAAACTGCATTGAATCTGATAAGTTTTCTCAGGATCAACCGCCAAGTTTTTTAAAAAGCTCGAATCATGCAATTACAACTCTAATGTTTTATTTTAATAGGATAATGAATATGTGATCTATCAACTCGATCAACAACGTTTACTCTATATTGTAGAAGTTTCATGGATACCGGATGATAGTATTAATATCGAATTAGAACGTTTACCAATTGTTCATCATGCGCAACATACATTAAAACTAAGTGAACATGGTAATAATGATTTTTGTTTTTTTTATTCGAATAAAATTTCACAAGGTTATATATATATTACATTCTAATTGAAGTACCATTGACCATTGATGATGAAGTTATTAAAGTTGTCGAACAAGACTATGGTTTAATATGTCCATCATCGGGAAAACTCGTACCACTTAAATCATTTCATATTCGTGCTCAAATTGTTGATGCTACAGTTGAGGTAATCATACTTATCATGCTATTTAATTAATATTAGGTCATCATTTTTGCTTTTCAATGAAAAGGTTATTCTCTATCAAGTCTATCATAATACAAGTTCAATACCGATCGAAGCTAAATATGTATTTCCTCTTGATGAAAACTCAGCTGTATGTGGTTTCGAAGCGCATATTAATAATAAAATAATTAAAGGTATTGTCAAAGAGAAAGAACAAGCCAAACAAGAATATCGAGAAGCAATCAAAAAAGGTCACGGTGCTTATTTAATGCATCAAGAACAAGCTCAAGTGTTTAGTGTAGCTGTTGGCAATTTGCCAGCGAATAATGAAGTTATCATTAAAATAACCTATGTTGCCGAATTAGAAATTGAAAATGATGATATTATTTTTCGATTTCCAGCTAAAATGGCATCATGGCAATCGAAACAAGCCGTTGAAACTAGAGATCAATCGACTGTACAATCCATTGGTATTGTTGATGAAAAAGTTGAATTTAGTTTCAAAGCATCAATTCGAATGCCATATGAAATAATTAAACTATTTTCACCAACACATCGTCTTCGTCGAAAATTAACTGATTGTATAGCTATGATCGAACTTATCGATAATGTCTTACTTGATCGAGATTTCATTCTTTCAATAACACTAAAAAGTGCTAATTTACCTCGAATATCAAATGAAACGTTGTCATTAGAGGATGACATTAATACAACAATATCGAACAATCATAAATCTCAAGCATGTATGCTTACTTTTTATCCACGATTTGAAATATTGACAAATTCAAATGAACACATTGAAATTATTTTCATTATTGATGTATCCAATTCGATGGATGGTAGTCATGTACAACAAGCTAAACAGTTAGCTCATTTATTTCTTACGAATTTGAAAGTTGACGATGATAATACATATTTTAATATAGTTACTTTTGGATCAGGTAATAAGATGATAATCCACAGCGTTATTCTACTATTCAAATTTGAACTATTTAGATAATGATGAATGTTTTCCGATTTCAACACCAACCACAAAAGAGAATCTTGATATAGCCAAATATTTTGTTCTGGTTAGTAGTTTATCTTGAACGTAATTTTTTCTACTATTCTAAATATTCTAGCATTCACTTATTCATCGTGGTAATACAGATCTATTTTCTGTTCTTCATCGTTATTCATTATTATCATTGTCGAATTCGGGTCGACAATTTATTCTTCTCTCCGATGGACATATTCATGATCTTAAATCAATTCTTACTCTATTCGAACATCGATCGACTATGCATCGTGATCGTCTATTTGTATGTTCAATTGGTAATGTTGCTAACAAGCACGGCTTGAAACAATTAACTCGTGGAATAAGAGGTGGTGGTTTAGTTACAATATTCGATTCGAATTATCGATCGAGATGGAAAACAAAAGTATTGAACATTCTTGAACATGTTCGACAACCATGTGTTACAAATATATTGATCGATTGGCATGGTCAATTAGATGAACAACAAAAATTCAATATGCAAGCACCGAATATGATTCGATCCTTGTTCAACGGAATGCGACTTAGTGTCTATCGATTCATACAAAACTGTCACAAAGCAACTTTGACGGCTACTATCGATGGACAAGAATTTATTACGACTGTATTTAGTAGTACGATGACAACGACTAGAGGACGTATTCTACACTGTCTAACTGCTCGAGCAATTATCGATGATTATGATAATGGATTATTGCATGTAGATGAGAGCGAAAATGAACTGATTAAAGTTCAATGTAAACGAGATCTCATCGATCTAAGCATTAAATATTCTGTCGTCAGTGAATATACGAGTTTTGTTGCCATTGAAGAACGTGATGCCAAAACGGATAAACAAACTCTTCAACCAGGTTAGTAGAAAACTAAAATTTTATCTACATACTTCTTATACTATAGACCAAAATGTTTGATAGTATGGAGATCACAAAGTTTTACATCGATAAAACCGAAATTATGTTAATTTTGATTGAAACAAGATTTTTTCTTCTATCACACATATTGTGCTCCAGACTTGTCGCACAATAGTACAAAAAGTGTATGGATAGAATTTTAGTTTTTTGAGCTCTACTGTTACTAATAAAGTAGAAGAAGTTGATTTTTTTTCTAATGCATTTTATTATTGAGAATATATACATGTGTACCTTCTTTCATATAGGCGTTCGTCTTCTTGATGTGATGCTCGATCGAGATGTCGATTTACTTCCATATATGGAATGGGATGGTGACGTATCAACTTTAGTTTCGATCAAACAGAAATTGATCGATGCTCGTATTTCACTCGAAAGTGCATCGATTCTAAGAAAAAGAGAATCAATTGCTGATATTGAAAAAATTTGTGAAAACATTTCCTATCGAGCAGGTGGTGATGCTAAATTTGATATAATGATGACTATTCTACGTACATATCGTTATTCATTGAATGAGTATGATAAAGCAAATGAATTCGAAGATAAAATACGCAATGGTATGTGAGTTAATCTAGGATAAATATGAATTGATATCAAAATTCAATATAATAAATAGATCTAAAGATGGAAATGATTGATGCAACAATGGAAGAACGACAAGCATTACAAGAACGATGTGCAACTAATAATTTCACGATTACAACTGATGATGAGTATGTAAAATAAAAGAAAACGAAATATTCAAAATAAAATTTAATATTCGGTTTCTTTTTTTGTTTTTTCAGTGAGCCGTTGGTCATCGATGAAGGTAAGAAGAATTTTAACTTTAATTCAATCATTTTAATAATAAACACGAGCTCATTTTCGTACTACATTTCAAGATTTCGTCATACCTATCTTTGTTGAGGAAAAAAGTTTTAAAACTTTGATAAAAAGTTGATTTACGAAAAGAAATTTGACAAGTAGAAATTGCATTACATGATACATGTAAAGTCTAGGTTAAGAAAAGTTCATAGATTGAACGGTCGAAAATTGGAAATCATTTTTTTTTCGGAGAACTTTATCTTGAAATTAGAAATTTACATATTCAAAAGAAAATACAACATTCAAATCACGATATATGAATGTTACTATATATAAAAACATTTAAAGAATATCACAATGAAGTACATGTAAAAACAAAATGAAGATCTTTTCCTAACGAATCTTTATGTCTTGTTTTGATAGATTCTGTTCTGCTAGAAAATGATCTTAGGATCGTCAATGATGCATTAGCACGACTGCTACTGATGGCACAAGAGATGAATGATGAGGTACGTCAATTCAATGCTATAGATTTGAATGACAACAATATCAGATATTTCTTTTTCAGTTGAATAATCAACAATTACTTACTGACAGAATTTGCCGGTCATCATTACTATCAGTAAATTCATCATCAAAATGTAAACCGTTGCTTCTACGTACAGGTAACTTATTTACTTTAACACATGTGAAAATTTTATGTGACAAGAGGTTTCTTTAAAGATTCTAGTTTCTCAGTAGAGATCTCTCCTTTCACTATAAAATATATATTTTTTAAGGTAGAAGCAAATTGAAATTGGTACTTTTGCATCATGAACAATAATATTTAATAGCTTTTACTTTCCGCAATATCACATTCAAATCTACAAAGTCTAGTAAGACTAACGTTTCCGTTTTTCAATTAGTATAAAAACTGTAGTACGAAGCATATACAGAAGCGTTCCAAATTTTCAAATACAAAAATCAAATGATTTTTAATGAATGATAATGCAATTTAAGTATTAGTATTAAAATGTTTTACGACCTATTTTTCTAGTTTTCAAAGATTCTCAATCAAGATTTTGTTTTCACATATAATAAAAATGAGTAGGGATTGAAATTCCACGAGATATTTTTCTGATAGAATCTATATGGTGATCCATGTGTTTATTCATTCTCTGGACAAATTTTTCGTTGCAAAAGATTCGAAAAATAGGTTGATTTTGCTCAGGAACTTATAACCTTCGTATTAACTATTCATTATAATTTACAACAATTATTTTTCTTTCTAATTCTTATTAAATTATTCTGTATTTGGTTTTAGAGGAGACGTCTGTACCAGAAAAACATTCATTGCAAGTACAGTTAGACTCGTTAAAATCAGATGATAAATTGTACGATATGCGTTGTGACTTGTTCAGTGATTTTACAACAGACGAATACAATACAGTACCTGGTGAGTTATGAAACTTTCATTATCAGCAGCGAATATTTAGAAAAAACTTTGATAAAATCTAATTGTTTTGAATTTCTTTCAAAATTAAACACTTGAAATATAATTTCTACCATTGCTCGAATAGCATGAAAGATAGGAAGCGAAACTTTTTAAGTTTTCGAATAGCTTACTTTATTTTCTTTCTGTGATCATTTTGCAGCTACTGTTCGATTTAAGATTTTCTTATTTCTATTTTTTAAAGAGTAAGATTCGAAGGATGACCTTATGTAGATATTCAATTTAGTATTAAAATATTTTCTCTAATTTTTACTTGTAGCGACCATATTCAGTAACGAAAAGGGATGCATTGAGTATTCTATCTTGCTTTTGAATGAGAAATGACTAGATTATTTGTTACTTTTATAGGAAATAATGTCTTGTAGATAGTGTTAATGATTATTTTTAGCGACAAATGCATCGGTTTTGCCATCGATAACGGATAAACTAAAAGCAAAGTCATTAAAAAC